TGTTAAAGGTCGTGGCCCACTTCTGATGCTTTTGTAAAGTATCTGTGTTCTTCGAACCTTTGTCGCCGCGACCTTTGCCCCCGTTGCCTTTCCACCCACGACCTTTGTCGGGTCCCTTGGGGATCTCCTGTCCCTTACCTCCCGGAAAGGAAAGCTTGGGAGGGCAGGGGCGCGGGGCAAGGAGCACACGCAAAGAAGAGCGCACTGCGGTCACCTGGTGCAAAGCATCGTCAAGCTTCCAGCCGTCGATCAAAAGTGACGAAACCTGCTCCCAAAGCATCCGATCACCGTGCTCCAACTCCTGGGTAAAAGGACTCCGAAGGTTAAGGTCAGCAGAGTACCTCTTAGTGGCCAGCTCCAGGAAAGCACGATCGTAGGCCTTGAGGGTGCTGAGGTGGCAACCTTTGCAAAGTGACACGGCAATGCTGTGCAAAGAAAGTATCTGCGAAAGCTGGTAGTTGCCAAGCTGACCAAGCCTGTTCCCTAAAGCAACGCTGTCCTTGTCATCGTGGGCTTTCTGTGAAAGCCTGAACTTCCACGGGATCCAACGCCACCCCACCTCAGCCCCCAAGTTGTCCACGGTCTGCTTGACCAAAGCAAGAAGGCGAGGCGAAGGTAAAGTGTCAGCATCAAGAATCTCACTGGTGTACGCTTTCAAGAAATCCTTTTGCAAAGACACAAAAGTAGCCGAAGCCACCTTGGGTGGAAAAGGATTGGACCACGAAGCAGCGTCCTGAGCACCTGTTTCCGGAGCAGCTTCCGGCACCACTGCAGAAGCCATACCAGAGCCCGAAGGAGAGCCCGAAGCAAAAGTAAAGCAATGTTGCCAAAGCAAGCGAATGCAAGAACGTTCCTGAAGAGAAAGGACCTTCAAAGGAATAAGCTCCTGCAGGGAATCGTCCAGCTCAGCAAAGGAAGTCGCACACATACCGAAAGTAGCGGCATCCCAGGAGTCATCCTGAAACTTTTCTTGAAGCTCCGAAGGAACCTTGTAGTGCACGGCCAAGGCAACCAGGTCGCGGTCCTGAGGCGGGGCAGAGCAAAGCAAGAAAGAGAAGCACAGCCGACCAAGCGCAAAGAAGACCGGTGCCTCAGACGAAGATGCCATGGACCTGCAAGACAAGCGAAGCAAAGCTAAAAGCACGAAGCGGGAAAGGTGGGGAGGGATGGGGAAAGCGAGGTCGCGCCTCAAAGCAAGCGGCAAAGGAAGGAGAAAACCCCCCTTTCTCTCAAAGCACAAAGCTAAGCGCTCCGAGCCAAGCGGGCCGGATGGAAGCGAGCTGCCCAAAGCAATGCTCAATCCAGCAAGCGGCTGGGTCCAAGGTGCATGGACAGCAAAGAAAGGAATCTCACGCGGGACCCTTCTTTTTGCGTGCATCAAGCAAAGGATGCTGGTAAGGCGCGACGGCCGAAGCAAAAAGGCACCGCAGCCCAAAGGCATGTTGTGCAAAGACGCACCCAGAAGCAACAAAGCACATGAAGCTAGGTACCAAAGCTATATTATAAAAGCTAAAGCAAAGTAAAGCTAAGCAAAGAAGATTACTGGGTGGCGTCCTTGAACTGTCTCATGCGAAAAGCGCGGTAACAAACCCGGCACCTGTGACGATGCGAAAGCGTCTCCGGCTTGCTCGGGTCTAAAGTAGCACCGCAATGCCCACTGGCGCAGTCGATGCAATGTTCCCTGCACTCAAGCCTGTGGCAAAGGGCCACACGAAAAGGACCGTACTGGCACATCACCTCGGACGCAAGCCGAAACTTAGCAGGATCCAAAGGAGGCAAAGTAGGGACCGACGAGGCTTGAGCATCTTGTCCTCCATCACCTTGTCCTCCATCACCAGGAAAGGAAGCATCAGCTGCAGGAGGTGGGTCCACCGTGACACCTTTTTCAAAAGGAACATCCTTGGCTGGAGCCGAGCTTCCCGCCGAAAAGGATGAGGAGCCGAAGGAGCCGGTTCAGGTTTCCCACCAGCTGTACCACTCATCGTAAGTGTGGCCCATGTGGTTGTCATAGGAAAGGAGGTGGCTGTACTTGGGGTTGCCTCCTTCGCTGAGATCGGGAACCTCAGGCAAAGTAGAAGCAGCCGCCTCCTTGGAACCATTGGCGGCTGTAAAGGAGTTCGGCTCGGCCGGAGGGTCAGCAGCACCAGCTGAAGCAAAGGAAGGGCCAGCAGCAGGATCAGCCGAAGGATCCGCCGAAGTAAAGGAAGCATTGCCGCTCCAAAGAAGCGGCCAAAGCCTCCAAAAGCGAGATACATTGATCCTCTGGAGTTCTTGAGCTGACCCGGCCCGTCTAGAGCTCGTCGTGCTCCAGTGCCTCTGTTGCTCCAGCTGCTCCATCTGTGCCTGCAGCACATGCATCTGGTTCATGATCTTCTCCTTCACGGCTTTCAGGTTGTAGTTCCGCATGTCCTGGGTCGCTTCCACCGCCTCCCAGCTCTCGTATCCATCGCTCGAACCGGACGCTTGCTTGTTCGGAGTCTTGACCATTTGCTTTGCTGCTGCCGGTCCGCTCTTTGCCTTGGCCGTCAACTTCAGCGGCCCTGGTCCCGTCCTCTTTGGGTCGATGTACGGGTGCTCGTGGACAAACTCCGTCTTGCTCAGCTGCTTGTCCAGCTTGAGTCTTGCCTCCTTCAGCTGGTCGCGGCATGCCACATACAGCCTCAGTCGCATCATTGGGCCGGAACTGGACTGTCCTTTTGCGTTCGGCTTTGACGTCGTCACGAACTTCCGGATCCACTGGATGTAGTTCTTTTCCTCCTGGTAGATCTCGCCGAACGTTTTCATCTGGCCTGCCTTCGCGTACTTCCCGATCTCCAGGATCTCGCTGCCGTTGATTGGCACGCCGGGCTCGTCGTCTTCGTGATCTTCGCGACTGTCCAGCAGCTTCACTGGCAGGGCTCCCGGATTCTCTGGCTGCAACAGCTCTGGCGTGAGCGCCTCCATGAGATCCTTCATTAGGGGTGTGGCCTTCATGTCGCTCCGCCACGGCACACCCTCCGCCGTGGTCACGACCTCGGCTTCCGTCTCCATTGGACGCATCGCCATTGCCTGGAGAAGACGGGTGGACAGGCTCACAGGCACTGCTTGGGGTACTTGCATCCGTGGTGGCTGCACACACAGACACGTGCACCTCGTTGAGCTCACTCTGGACTGCCTCCACTGGTGTCCCTCGACGCACCGCCTTGCAACCTAAAATAGGTATAGCATAATGGCCCCGTTCAGTCTCATTTAACGCAACCTTAACCCCAAGTCTCCCCACATACATCACGTCCCTATCCATGTCCAAAGTAGCCTTCAAACCCCTAAGGCATTCCTTGGACAAGAGAAGTGGTGTATCAGCCCCCGCTTCGGGAAGCAATGCTGCTTTCAGTGCTACAAGCTTGCCCCCTATGCATGCGGGTATCACTGCGCTTTGCTGCGTTTGCAGCTTCCCTGCATTTCCGAACTTAAACTCATGTCTCTCACTCAGGTACCTGACACGCAACCCTCGCTTATGAAGCTCCTTCACTAAGCCCCGCAAGACCCTCTCGCCTATCAAGGTCCTACGGCACGCAGTGTCAGGCACGGCATGAGTGGAGAGTGGTGCATACTCAACTGACTCATCACAAGCAGCCATGTATGCCTCACTCGAGCGCGCAGCGTCCGATGCATATTCAAAAACTTCAGGAGAAAGTAGCCCTTTTTCAGGGCCCCCCAACACAGCATCTACCTGCTCACAGTCCGTTTCTCCCGGACTTGCCACGAAAATGTCGACGTTGCCACTGTCGCCCTCGACCAAGAACACGTCCAGCTGCTCGATCTGCTCCACAGGAATGAACCACTCGGCTCCTCCTGGATCTCCAGAGCCGATCATGGCTTCCTTGGTGCCAGCCTGCTTGACTGACTGCCCTCCCAGCTCCTTGCGCTTCGGACACTCGCGCTTCCAGTGTCCAGGCATTTTGCAGAGATGGCACTTGGTCCTTTTCTTCAGCTGCTCAAGTCTTCCTTGCACTGTTCCTGAAAGACTCCAAGAGGTAGGTTGAGCCTTGTAACCACGGCCCATCTTCTTCTGCTGAAGCTTCTTTCGGATGTCCTGGTAGGTCTCCAGCACGTCCAACACCTCTTCGTCTTCATAGTTTTGGCCCTCTTGTTGCTGAAACTGATCTGCAACCACATGGAAGACCTCATTCTCATCTTCTTCCTCGGTGTTGTAACTGCCTTCCGCGTCTTCCGTCTCCGCAGCGTACACATCCTTCATCCGGTTTGCCGTCGTGGTGCACTTCCCTTGCAGAAATATGAACTTCACTGCCTTGTTGACATCCTCGTGCTTCAGGCTTCCATGCGTCGCTGTCAGGATCATCGCCTCAGTTCTTATCCATTGCTAGCTTCCGTAACACAAACCAACCTCGGACTTCGTCTGGCAGCTTCACACTCACCTCTCGTAGGTTCCTGTAGGCCGTGTCATCTCGTATTGTAAGGTTCCTATACGACTCTCCGGCCTTGACCTGAGTCTTGAAGAAATACTCGTTCAGGTACTTCTGCATGGCGGGAATCCAGGGCCTCAAAGATGAGCTTGTGCCCATCCTCAGCTATCAGCTTTGCCACTGATATTCCTTCCTCGTGTGCAGCTTCGGACCCCAATTCTCCTTGGCCATGGTCGAGGGGAGCGCCATGAGCATGAGCTCCGCCTTACGTCGCCACCGCTTGTAACTTGCTGGATCCGACCCATCGAACCTCTCTAACCGCGGTTTTTCCTCGTCCCGACTCCCACTCATCTTCTGGTCCACAGCAGAGCACCGGATACACAGGCGGCTGCTCCAGCTCAGCGCACGTTTTCCATCTTCTATGAGCGTCCGTCGTGACACAAGGGGGACCTTCGGTCCATAACGTCGCGGAACACATTAACTGGAGTCCTTCTGCTGCTCACACATGACATGTTGGTCTGATGCATGGGATTTACTCATGATTTCCACACCATGGTCGACAGATCATGTCGAGGGGACAAAGGTGCACAATTGCACCTCAAAAATACTAATTACATTAGCAAGAAATTGCACCTGGAGCCATACAGGCCGGCTCATGTGCTGTCGCGGCACACAGCACAACATTGTTTTGTAGAAACGCAACCCTCGGTGCCCTGCCCTCTACCTCTCGGTGTGACACGAAGAAAGGGGTAGAGTTCAGAAGACATGGAAGCTAACGGCTGAAAGGCATCGATCAGTCGCGGCTGATGGCATCGCACTGTTTTGTATGGAAACGCAGTGCCCTGCCCTATCTCGTTGAGGCACCAAGCCTTGCACATGAGCAGCCCGGGCAACAGACCCGACAGGTGCTAGAACTAAGGGCATAGAGGGTAGAGTTGGCGCATTGCTCATGCACACCCCGTGCCCATCCAAGCGAGGCGCGATATCTTGGTTCTTATCCTTTTGAATTTCTTTGCTTTCAGTCGCTATTGTCAGTTTTGAAGCCTCGACTCATCCAGCTCTGTCCCTGACAAAATCAAAAGAAGGGCCCAACTCTGCCCGGCAGGACTTCTGGACTTAGCCTGGTCTTCTTCGCCCTCTCCTCCTTCCATTGCTCTTCTGGCGCCGCTCATCGCGGAACTTAAGCAGCGCTCTCAGCTTACAGGTCGAGTCGAACACCTTTTCAACATGTCGAGCTCCTTTTCAGCTGGTGATCATGCTTCGATATGCTTCGATATGCTTCTCGATCCTTGAGCAAACCAGAAGCAGAGCAGAATGGGGCAACCTGTGACTCGGACAAGTGGAAACAACACGCCTGCCGTGGTCGCTGTGCCTACACTGCAAAAAACCGAAAGGTTTCATTGGCAAAGGAACTTCCACGACCAGATCTCTCGCCGACTTAATCGTGCGAGAAACGCTGAAAGCAACGCTAAAACCTCGCAGCGAATCCTGCCTCGAGATACTTAACGACACCTCTGGTGTCGAAGCGAATGGCATGCCCCATACTCTCAAAGCATGGTCACGCTGCGCGCTTCGAACCATCTCTGGAACAGTGGAAAGACTCCTGCATCCTAAACCCAGTTTTGGCATTACGATGAGTGACCACTGTGGTGAGACAAAGCCCGGCTCACGCCGAGATCGTAGCATGGTTGTGCCTACTTCTCATCCTCTTGTGAATAGCCGCCTGGACTCAAAAAACTGCCCGGGCCCCACAACTTCAGCCACTTGCAAGAGCATTTGAGGTGCCGGCCCAGTGGTGGCAGCTGGAGCTCTGAGAGGATGTCGTTGATCCTTATAGGGCCCATTACTGTATCGCCATGGCGCATGGTCCTCGTGGCGGGACGTGGGCTCCGAGACCGGGTCCTCCTCGCCGCCTCGGGTTCAATCTCGACATCCTCCAGCAGCTTGATCATCTTCTCGACCCCTCGCAGGTCGGCAGTGGGAGTGCGTAAAGCAACAGATCTTGGATGCTCCGCGCCTACGTCCTTGAAGCGATCAACCTGGTAGGGATGCAGCATTCTCCACGCAAAATGCTGTTAAAAAGCTCTTAAACCGGCCTTGCTCTGCAACTCATGCTTTGTGACGGCCGTGTTCCGCAGAACAACCATGCGTCGCCTGTGCAAGTATGAGCTGTATGAGCTTTTGCTTCCGTTGAAGGTGAATCTCGGCCCCAGGCTGGACATGCCACTTTCTGAACACTCATGACCATGTACGGATAAACAAACAAGCCTAGCTGTGATATCTTCGGCAACTCTGCTTTCCGAGGCACCGATCGGCATCCGCCTTGCTGTCCTCCAGGACCTGCGAGCAAGACTGTGTTGGTGGCTTGCTGCTTTCGTCTGAACGAAATATCTTCCATTGCCTGAAACTTATGATCTCGCATCCGCTCCCGTAGTGCTGACGTTGAATGATGTAGTTTCCTGTGGATTCTCTGCGTTTTGTAATCTTGATAATCTTGGCATCCGAGTTCGTCATCAATTCTTCGGCTTGCTCTTCCAGATGTATGTTTTGCTGCGGGTCTTTGATCTTCTTTCTGGCCTTATCGTCATGGTGCTGTTACTTGCATGATACATTTTGCCGGTGTCTCCGGTTGCTTGCGTTCGTGCGTTCCACTTGCATGCGCTATCGGAAAAGTGTCTAACTCGTATGTCCACCTTTTTTCAGTTGGCATTTGGTTTCGGAGCTTCCATTTCGAAACTTGACAGCCTTCGCCTTCCGAGCCTACGGCCTACGGGCTAATGACGGAGGCCGCTTTGAGGGCCTGTGCCCTTTGTCGGATCGCGAGGAGCTTCTCGATCTGCTGGTCCACGGCATAGGCATTGGCCTTGGCCGCAGAAGCAACGAAGCAACTGCCAGCTGTGCCAGCTTAGCTCTGAATTTGGGCAACGGGCCCGGCGCAGGCGCTCCCGGTTCTCGGCCGCCAGCGCCGCCTCGCCAACTGGGCCCCCAAACGGGGCTGCGCTGGGCTGCGCTGGGCCCTGCCCTGCCCTGGGCCCCCCGACGAAATGCTCGGCATCCTCACGGGCTCGGAGGAGTTCCGGTCGTTCCTTCCGCCGAAGCCTCGGGGCGGAACGCATGGCCCGCAAGGCCGCAAGGTCAGTTGCGCGGCGTCTTCAGAGTTGAGATTTTTGAGTCCCGCGACGTCTCCGAGGCTGAGCGCTGCAGGCTCCTGTTTTACGGCCACTCAAAGCCTTTGCGAAGGATCCTGCAGGTCTTGCCCTTGCACGGCCTGGACTCCCAGTTTCTTCTGAATTCTTCATGTTCCTTCTCCTTCTCGGCTAGCAGCCTCTCATACCTTCGACAACAGTGTGATGTTTCTGCACACCTCTGTCCTGAATCCCTGCCTGGAAACAAACGCCTGCCGCTTCTTGCTATTCGCTGTCTGCGTGGACGGAATGCACTAAAAGAGCTTGCACTCTGCACACACGACTCTCGAGCCTTGAACTCTTTCAGTCTCTCCTTCAGCCGATCGTTTCTGAAGTCTTCTGCCTGACATATGGAGGCTATCCTGCGCAATAGACAGTCTGCTGATGTCTGCTGCCTTGCTATGCCGTTCGAGGGCTTCGCCATACTTCTTTTCGTTCTCTGCCTAGGCCACTAGGTGCCCCAACAGGAAAGACTGTCACGGAATGCGGGGTCGGCGGTGCTTGAATCCGGACAGGGGAACAACGGATGCCTGCTGCGTTGCGAGGTACTCGGCCACCTGAGCAAAACTGTTCAGTGCAAATCGCTGCTCGCTAAGACGGCTTTAGACTGCACATCTATTAATGACTGAGGGCCCTTTGCTTGAGCCCCGACTCGTTGCCGACACTGCATCTCCTTGTGGAGCATTGCCTCCTTGTTGGAGACCCTGAAACGGTACATCGCTTGTGCAGTAAAACATGGCCCAGCCACAGAGAGACACAGCCACAGCCTCTGGCCCAACAGCTCTTCAAGCCTGAGCTCAAGTCACGACGCTGGAATAGGAGACAGTCAAGGCTCAAGGCTGTAGGCTGTAGGGAGCGTACAACTGGCGCTTCCTCAAGTGCTTCTCCTCTATTTCGTCGTGCATGTCCTCATCGGTGACATCATCAAGAACTCAAGCGTACTCATGTGCTGGCATGTGCTCCTCGCGCTTGCGCAGCAACATGTCTTCGAACGCGGCCTGTGTTGCTGTACGCCACATGCCACGCCGACAACAGAGCATATCCCGACAGCGAAAAAGCGTCGCCTTCTGTTTCCGGGCTTCGATGCCCTTCACCTAGGATGTCAGTGTTTGGAGCTTCTGAGCCTCCGATAAAGGAAAACACAGTCCAACAGGAGCGTGCTGAAACAAGGCACCTGTTTGGACTCGATGGAATCGTCATGTGCCTGCCGGATGTCGGCAAGGCATTTTGCCACTCGATCATCAGCCTCACGCGGACCCCGACTGCAGAAGGCCAACATGAAACAGCGCAGCCCTCGATTTGCCTCCTTCAGCTCTTGCCGAAGCTCTTCGCAATGTGCTTGCAGTTGCCGGTCGGCACGGCCCCGAGCCTGCGAAAGACTCAAGCTCTGGCGGAACTCGAAGCTTGGGACGGGACCTCCTTGGATTTTTCCCTTCTCTTCTCCGCCTGGACATTCTGCAGTCTCGTCTTCAAAGATGCGAGAGCATGCAAGGGCCACTCCGCGCCAGCCTCCTTCTGCATTGCTCTGAGCTTATCGTCCCTCTCCTTCTTCAGCTCTTTCATGCGCTTCACGTTTTCCTTCCAAGCGCACCAGGCGTTCACCCTCAAGAAAGGCGCGGACTGTCCCTTACACTGCCTCGCACTTCCTCCAGCTAATGTGTGTGCCTCCTGCTTCTTTTTTCCCTTTTCGAACTCCAGTCGACTCTCGAGCTCCTCAGAGCGGTGTCTTGCACAGGGCACCATATCATATG